TAATTTATTAATTTAAATATAATAGTTATAATAGTTATATTAGACGCGCTCGAAATCGAATAATAATTTTTTTATCTATTTATATAATTATTCTTCTTTTATTATTCTATTAATTTATTAATATAAATATAATTATTCTCGATATTTCTCGCGGAAATATTACTAAACGCTTTAAATATATATTTCTTTTATTTATCTTTTAAATCTCTTAATAATATCTCTAGACTATATTTCGATAAATTTATTATTACTAATAATCGAGGCTATAAGCGAGCTTAATAGCTATTTACTACTACTTAAAAACGCGTTAAAAAGCCTTTAAAAAAAGCCTAAACGAATTTATAGCCATCGTCTTCCTCTATATACTTCTCTTAAGTCAGCGATACTCGATTAACTTCTTAGTTAATACTATCTACTCTATTAACTTAGTAATCTACTTAGTTAGATCGTTAAATAATTAGATCGTTAACCAGTTAAATCGTCAACTAGTTAGATCGTCAACTAGTTACTTAGTTATCCACTTAGTTAGCCACTTAGCTAGCCACTTAGTCTAATACTCTATAAAAGAAGAAGTAAGAGAAGGAATTATAATAGGCAGTAAATGCGGAGAATACTACGAAGAACACTACGGAGCACTACGGAGAACACTACGGAGAACACTACGGAGAACACTACGGAGAACACTACGGAGAATACTACGGAGAAACTACGGAGAATACTACGGAGAACACTACGGAGAACACTACGGAGAATACTACGGAGAACACTACGGAGAATACTACGGAGAATACTACGGAGAGAACACTACGGAGAACACTACGGAGAACACTACGGAGAACACTACGGAAACTACGGAGAATACTACGGAGAATACTACGGAGAATACTACGGAGAATACTAAGATATACGGAGAACTCAAGCGGCAATAAGGCTACCATCGTCAAGAACACGGCTCAGCTCTCTAAGATCCCACGTCATATACTCTTTACGGTTCTATATTAAATTATTACTTAATAAGTAAAGAATACTACTATAACTTAATTTATTATCTCTATTATATTAATATAATATATTACTATAATAATATTATAAGAAAAGAATCTACTACGACGATTATAGTTAATTAAGTCTTTATAGAAGAAATATCGAATAATATATATTTAAACGAATTAAAATTATTCGATATCTTACTCTAATAGCTATTTTATTATTTAAAAGATTTTACTACGATAGAAGATAATATAGAATTTATATTACTAATTAATATATTATCTCTATTTCTTTTCGATATTTTAATACTTCTTATTATAAGAATATAGTCTTTCTCTATTTTTTATAAATAATTATTATAAATTAATCTTTTATACTTAATATACCTTTCTAATTAAATCTTAACGCGTTTCTCTTTATATATATATATTTATATATAGATTAAAAACGTATAGTAAGCGATTAGAGTTCGATTTAACTTAGAGCTAGAGCTAAAATTTAATTTAACTTAGAAAATTTAACTCTATAAATTTAATTTATAGATCTTTACTTATAAATATATAATCTAATAGTTATATTAAAAAACGAAGATCTTTAAATAAGCTTAGTTTATATTATAGAGGCTTAATACTAAGTATAATATTCTCGCGATTAATAAAAATCTTTATAATCTCGATAAGCGTATTATTTATAAAACTAATACGCGGTTAATAGATATTTAATATCTAATTATCTAACGTAGCTAAGATCTTAAACTATAATACGTTAAAAGTTAATATTTTTATTTTATAAAGTTTACTATAATTAAAACGAAAGCTATCGCTTTATTATTATATTATATATATCTTATTAATAATAATAAGATTAAGTCGCGAGATAAATCTTATATTCTTTATAATAATCTTATAAAAATTCTTATTATTTATAAAGATCTCGAGATTAATAAGAATAATATATATATAAATATTACTAGCGATATTATATAGATTTTTATTCTTATTAATTTAAGTATTTAGAATAAAAGCGTTAATATTAAATAATATATTAATTTTTAATTACTAATTTAACTTTAATATATTAAGTAAATATATAAGAATCGCTATATTACTCGATTTTAATAGAGATAGAAAGTAAAAAATAAAACTCTTTTTAAAGCCCGTTTTCGCTATTAGAATAGCGTCTTTATCGTTAAATAAATAGCGAATTATATATATCTATTTCTTTTTAAATCTATTTTTAATCTTATTAAGATTTATTTATTATTATTAACTTTATAAAGCGATTAGAGTATAATATTACTCGCTTTTTATATTAATTATATATTTCGAGACGTAGATTATAACGTAATTAATTTCTATTATTATATTAAAGATAAAATAATAAATATTAGAATTTAAAGTAGTATAAGAGAGAATATTAATATTACTAGCGATATATAAATTATTATTAAAACTATTATAATTACTCGACTCTTTTATACTTATATAATACTTAAAATTTTACTTATTCGTAAGCGAAGAAGAGTCTATATCGTTATTTATAATTTAAGATTATATATAAATATTAAAATATTCTTCTTTCTACTTTTATACCCGAGAATTAAATATATAACTTTTTTTCTTTACTCTAGAACTAGTTCGCTAAATATTTTAAAACTTCGTATTTATTAGAAAAAAGAATATTTTTATAAATTATAAAGAGGTTAATATATATAATTCGAAAATATCTCGCTATCGTTATCGAAGAGAAAATTACGTATTTAAACGTCTCTTATAGTCTTTTTATTCGTCTAAGTCTATTTTAAACGCGTTAAACGCGTTAAAATTATTTAAGATATATATTTTATACTTTCTTTAACTTCTAAATAATATATTTTTAAGTTAATAGATATATATATAGAGAGAATAATTTTAATACTCGTTTTTTATTAAATATTAATATAATTAAACTTATAATTTAATTATTATACTCGACTTATTATATAACGAGTAAAGGCCTATAAATTAAATTCATAATCGTTTTTTTTAATTAGGGCTGTCGAGTTTGATAAGCGATCTTTAATATGCGATATTTGAATTCCTTACCTTTAAAGAACTATAAGATCAAATTTTAAGATTCTTTTTTAATCTGAAAGCCTATATTACGTTCTATAGTTAAAAAGAAAAATCTCGAAATTTAAATAGAGAATAAAAATGTTATTCTAAAATTAAATAATATATACTTATTTTTTAATTAGAGCTATCGAACTTTGATAAGCGATATTTAAGATCCTTATCCTTTAATAATAATAAGATTAAATTTTATAATTTTTACGTTATTAAAAAGCGTAATATTCGCTCTATAAGTTAAAAAAATAGTTTTTAATTTTTAATAGAAAATAGTAAAGTTATTAAAGGGTTAAAAGTAAAGTAAGAGATTTTAATAGTTACGAACGCTAATTTATTTATTTATAATAACTTAGTCGATCTAGCTAAAAGGCGTAATAATCTCGAATTAATAATTAACTATATATATAAATTTAAGATTTTCTAATTTAGCTCTATCTTATTCTTTTATATATATTAATCTTTTAATAATATTAAATATAATATATTATTATCTAAAATTTAATTATTAAAGAGTAATTAATTAGAGATAAATATTATAATTATTAGCGAAGAATATATATTTAAATAAGCTTATATAATAATAACGAGCTATTTAATTATAATAAAAAGTTTATATACTTATTTAATAATCTTAAAAGACTTATTTTTCTCTTAATTAATATTAAAAGACTATATAATAATAATTAAAAAATTAAAGAAAGTCGCGACTTTTTATTAACGGGGTAATTATTATAATAAGCTTATATAAATTAACGATTAATATAGCGATTCTAGGATTTTCTACTTAGACTCTAAGGGAGGGGTATATCGTAATGAGCTTACGATATAATTAGTCTCCAAAGCGAGGCACGAGTGTAGGGCTGGCCATAGGTACCCCGGCTAGCCGTGAGTCTGAATTACTGAGACTAAGATCGAATTAATAGATTTATAAATTACGTAATCTCGCATGTTTTGCCCTCTCAACTTTTCCATCGGCGCATCACAGCCTCTCACCAACCCTCACACGAACATTAATAGGGGCGGCAGCGAGAGCGGAAGCGGCGAGAAGGGCCATTGCACACTACACACTACACACTGCACACTACACACTACACACTACACACTACACACTACACACTACACACACTGCACACTACACACTACACACTACACACTACACACTACACACTACACACTACACACTACACACCACACACCATACACCACACACCACACACCACACACCACACACCACACACCACACACCACACACCACACACCACACACTCCACACTCCACACTACACCAAGTGATACCACAGTGAGGCTGTGCGCAAGGAGACTGGCTGAAGGGGCGAGCTCAGTGGTGGCCGGCGAGAGCCCGAATTTGACCATTTGACCATTTGAAGCTGGTGGAGCGTTTACAGCGAGAAGGAGAGAGGAGATTTGGACTTCAGCAAATTCAGAGACCATCGAATTGTTGATACAGCTGCCTGCAGAGCACAGCACTTTTCTCGCCTTGTCAGTATATTGGAAAACCACCTCGCCAGGATATCATCGCGTGCTAATCTGGCTCATCTATCTACTCTAGTCTCAAGACTGCCTCCCTTTACTCTTCCTCGGAGCTTTCTACTTCCCACTTTGCTCTTCTAGCAATGGACGGCCAATCCGCTGCTACCGCACCTACCTCACGCCCTTTCGGAATACCTTCGATCCCTTAAGGGGGGAATACCGGCCGAAATCCTCAACAGCAAACACGGCCGCGAACTCGTCCCGCGAAGCATCAATCTATATCCAGAAGAGAGTAACGCGGGTCTTGATGTTGATCACGCGGTTTTGGTCGTGGTCCCCGCTCAGGTTACACCCCGACATTCAAGAACCGAGCTCCGACGCCAAGGTCCGCTCATTGAAGACCAGATTTAAGATGGAGCATCATATGACCTGTGTAGGCCCGCATCCCGATGTTGATACACTGGAGTACCAGAAGGCCCAAGTAGAAGGATGTTCCTGGGGAGAATATCGACTGTATGGGCAGCTGCAGCCTTTTGATCCGTTGTGTGGGCTGATCTATTTGTGTAGCATTCCGAGTTTCGGATCTGTCAAATTCACAGTGCGTCTAGCAGTAGCCATGGCAGGACTTGCAATGGCCTTTGCCACTATACCAGCTGTTCAGACTTCTGGTGGTGAAGCCCAACCTCATCACCTACGGCAACCCCGACGCCACTTAGCGCTTGATTTCCTGCACGGGTGTCGAGATATTGACCCTGAAAGCTACTTGCCCCTTGATAAGAGTCTCAACATATCCGTGCAGCACTCACTCCCTACCACGGAAACCCTCGCACGACACATTCAAAACTGCCATGACTCGGCTCGAGTGCTGGCAGCTTTCACCAATCATGATCTGCCCTGTGCGCTCCGGGGCCCCCCAACCGACAACAAGGTTACAAGACTACGATTGGTCTTGTCGCATGGCTACAAGCTCGTCATCGATGGTCATACTCAACTGACGGCCACCATAGAACGTTGGCACGATGCCTCGTCCCCATACTACCATGACGCTTTAAAGGATGCAGAAGCCGTGCGCGATAAGGCTAGAATGCCGTGGCATCAGATTGCTATCGTCTCACACCAACCGATTCCATACTGGACGGCTTATGGTGGTGCATGGAGAAGGCAAAATAGCGCTCAAATATGGCTTGATGAGGTCTCTAGCATTCTCGTGAATTATGAAGCCGATGGAGAGTCCCTCGTCGCTGATGGCCACCGCATTGAAAAGTTTGCGACTGAGCTTTTTACGCTGATGGTTTCTTTGGATAACGGCGCCCCCGGACCTTGGGGCCGGACGGATGCTTTGACGCTGAAGAAGTGGTATTTCCACAAGCTGGCAGAATTTGGTGAGGGGAAGTGGAAACGGGCAAGCTTCGAGGCGGAATGGGATGGCTTGGATTGTGGATTGGTCTGAAAGACATGTCTAGTAGGGTATGAAGGTAATGGTAAAATGTAATATCACATCATTTTCAAAGCCGCACAGGTATTGCAGCGCTCATTACAAGCCTCGCCTTCGCAAACGTGCTTGAGTTATTGTTAACACTGATAATGTTACAAGATCTCTACCTGTTTTCTGTGTGTCTGCACGCGCGTATCAGACGCTGTAGGGACGTTGTGAAGGCGAAGAATCGACATGAAGATTCGCTACATTGGAGGAGACCGAGATTCCGTAGCTGCTGGCGAGGTCCCGAGGAACCTACGCGGCCACTCGTTCCTCCACGCATTGGCATAGCTCTTCCAACCTCTTACTCTCCATCATTTTTGCACCGATCTGTTCCCCGACGGTTCGGATAAAGAAATGTTAGACTGCGGAGTGCACTAGCAGGGATTGTTTCCTTGCCTGAGGTTCTTTTGGCATCTGCGTGGTATCGTGTTAGGTCGAAGCAACGAGACGGTGCGATTGGTGGGTGTTTCCGCGCCGGATTGCCGAGCAAGAAGATAATCCTGCACCCGCCAAGAAAAGGGTCCAGCTATCGGATAACGCGCCGCCCGGAGGGTTGCCTGGACAATGCGCTTAGAGCTCCCTCGGACTTGAACCCGACATGACCCCCTCTTGCCTCTTGGTGGCCCATGCAGGATGCCCCTACCATTTTAGGGACGTCCTATCTATACTCTTCCAGCAAATTATTCGCTACAGGGCTGCCTTCCGAAAGTAGGGCTAGGGCTGCGACTAGCGCATGTGCGGGACTTTTGATACAGACCTCCGTAGACTTCTCTTCTTCTCCCACCACACGGCTAGGTACCTTCTCCATCAGACTCAATCATCAGCCACGATATCGTTTCCTCGAAATTAATCGAGTATTGTAAATCAGAGTCGAGGGAAACTTTGTCATTATTGACACTCAAATTTCGTGTGTTCAGGACTCTCCAAGGGCGGCTCGGCGGCCCGTACCGCATGCACGAGCTTGACCTCATTACGTTAGAATCAACTGCAGTATGACCCCATGTTTATGAACAGCTTCCTACCCACCGGGTGAACGATCCTCCGAGTCCCACTACAAATTCCAAAAATCCTTCACAACCTTCATCCATCATCATCATCACACCCCAAGCATACACGATTACAGCTGATCACATATTTCGCCATGGCTAATGGTATCAAGCAGCATTCGTTGAGTCGGCGTGCGAGAAGCCAGAGTCCTCAGATACATCCATCATCTCAGACAACTACGCCGTCTCGACGCGCGACGAGCCAGAGTCCTCGAACACATCTATTATCTCAGACCACCATACCGTCGAAGAGGACTGTAGTTCTCTATAACTTTCTAGTCTCATGTCACGGAAAGAACAGAGAAGCGGTAGAGCCTTGGACGGTGTTCAACTTGACGTTAAAAGAACATCAGTCACTGTGGTGGCTTCTAGAAAAAGAATCATCGCTATATAATTACGTCGTGGGCAAGCTTCGGTAAGCGAATAGATCCCTCTTATCTAGAGGGACAGACATTAATTGATATGGATACAAGTTTCGACTGGTCTCCAGATACGTCTACGTTTGTTGTCAGGATGCCAACAACTAAGCATGAGAGCTTCGTAGAAGCTGTCTCGACGGAAATCGTCTCGCAGCTAGCAAAGGCTGGTAATCAAGACAACGACGTCAAGGTCGTTACTGATCGAATCGAAAGCGAAGGATCCCCGTTAATCGACCTACTTTACTATGATACCGAACGAGCGAAATGTCCTAAACGAACACCAGACAAGTCGTTCGGCCCTGGAAACCAGTTTCCCTTGGTAGTGATCGAAGTCGCATATTCGCAGCAACAGAAAAAGTTACCCAGGATAGCCGATGAATACATTTGTGGCTCTAGCGGCAACATTAAAGTCGTGTTGGGGTTCGATATCGGGTACGATGATCAGTCCAAGAAGGCGACGACCTCAATCTGGCGACCTGGAACATCAGACGATGGAGATCTAATCACCGAAGAAGTTCGAAACGACGATGTAAGGCCTGCCTATCTGTTTTCAGTGGAAATTGCGCTACAACAATCTAGTAAATACTAATCAGTCTCGCATTTGACAGCCGTTTCGTACCAAGGAGGGAACCTTAGTCCCAGGTCTCGGATTCTCTCTTCGGGTCCGTGACCTTGTTCTCAGTACACAGCTGCCCGATCTACCCAGTCGGATTCATAACCAGACTGTTGTTCACGTTACCCCAGAGCAACTTGCCTCATTTCTCTACCGAGTGGAGACCACATACGAGCTCAATAAAATCAATCAAGGTGCACAAGAGCCGGACCGGAAAAAGAGGGTTCGTGAAGCGACACCAGAAGAAGAATTGAGCTCAAGGAAGGAGAGGAAGATCTCTAAGCAAGAGGTTGCCGAAGAGGAGAGCAATGAGGCGAGAGATCCAGATTGGAGCCCAGTTTAGGTGTGACTGTTCAGAACTGAACAGGTAGCTGTAATTACAGGCAGCCATCTGCATGGCAGTTGTGGTCCTTTCTGTTTGAAGTTGCGGTGACTGTTAATCCCAACCCGTTCGTTCTAGCGTGTTTGCCTCAGCCATTCACAGCTCCCTCTCCTCCCTCGCCCGTCCGGCTTCCTCTTTCATCAACCTCACTATCCCCTCCACCCCGACCCCCTCCCCTCCCCTCCAAATTCCCAGCCCCCGCTCCGCCCCCTCCCTCACCCTCCTCCACCCCGCCTCACTCATCCCCGCCTTCGCCGGCAAAACCAGCACCGCCTCCATCTGCGCCTCGAACCGCTGCACCGCGACCGCCCCGTGGCCCTGCACCAGATCCCCCGCGGCGACGCGCCCAAACCGCGCATCGAGCTCCAGCAACTCGCGTTCCGTGCGGGGGAGGAAGGGCCCGACTTTCCGGACGAAGGCGCCCGCGTGAGCGGCTGCGCGGTCGAGGGCGTCGAGGGTGCCGCGCTGGCGGGCGAGCCGGAGCGGATCGGAATCGCCCCACCTCCGCCCGAGGGAGTCGAGGGTCCGCGTGGCGTGGGACGGGTTGGCCGCCATGTCGCGATAGAGGAGTTGCAGGGTTTTCACCTTGCCGGTGGTGTGGGCTCGGGCGATCTGCAGGGCGGGCGCGAGGGCCTGGGAGAATGCGTCGGATTGGGTTCGGCCCGGATGGGACTGCAGCGCCTTGAGGTCTTGGGCGGACGGGCTGCGGAAGCGGGCGTATTGCCTATGGAGCTGCCGGTGCACCTGCAGGGTCGTCGGCGGGTGGGCATGCCACGGGAGGAAGAAGCCGTATCCGTGGAGGATGGAGGAGGCTTCCGGCAAGGGATTCAACACGCGCGCACCCAAGGGGCGAGGCGGGTGCTTGGGAATCGCCAGACAGGCGTTGAGATGGGCGCTGAAAATGATGTGGCGGGTTTGGATGTCTTCGACGAAGAAGTAGAGTTTGTGATGCCAGTCGAGGAAGGAGGGATGGAAAGCCTCGATCAGGATGATGACCTCCTTGATGACGGGAGCTATTTCCCGAAGTTCAGGCCGGGCCGAGGAAAGCGCGTACTGCTGTTGGAAGACGAGGTCGTCGAGACATTCTTGTAGCTGGGATGGCGCGGATAGAATCTCTGCAGGAAACTCGCTAGATGAGGAGGAGGCTCGCGAGGTGGATACCGAGTCGGTGAATGCTGCGGTATCGCAGACCTCTTGAGGCAGAAAGCCTCCAAAGATGATGAGCCATAGAAACGGGTATATGATAGCCGTCGATTGGAGGGCTGGGACGATCATGGTCCAGAACAAGCGACGGTACGCAAGAAGCCTGTTCATTCCGAAATGCTTTTCAGGATAGGAGGTGTAAGAAAGGACGAAGAAGGGAGGAAAGAGGAGAAGGAAAAAGGAAAAAGCGGGGAGCAAACACAGTGGACAAAGGCAGCGGGAGCATGCAGTAAGACTAGCAGGGGATTCAGCGTTTGGTTCACAGCATCAGCGTTCCTTTTTGGACGAGGACAAGGACTTCCCTATCGGAAATCGGAAATCGGAAATCAGAAAACAATCTTAGGCTCGTGAATAGCGATGCCATCTTGATATTAACATCAACACTTTTCGCCCGTCATCTCTCATCGGCGTCTGCCAAACGGAACAGAGCGTTTGAGAATCTCATCCTCATTGCGATTGAGCAACGTCTTATAGCCTGGAGGAAAGCTCCCGTTTTCCCCTCTCTTCTTCTTCTCCCTGTGCCACTGTTCATAATACCATAGTTGCAAAGCATAAAACACCCGCCATTCTTGACCGTAGTCGAGCGGATCCGGAAACCGTAAAGGCATCTCTGCTCTGACAATGGAGTCTTCAAACTCTTCCCATTGTTTGATCCTTTGATTGAATTCATCCACGGCAATACCATTTTTCAAATGCTCTAGACTGTAATCCTGTGCTGCCATACCAATGATTTCGTCTTTGGTGTAGGAAGGCGGCATCTTGAACATTCCGGCGGCGCGTCCAACCAAACCCTTGAAGCCAGAAACTGGAGGGTCCATGCCAAAGCTAGCATCACGATTGGCACCAACCCCATCGGCGGTAGCCTGGTCACTGCTTGGAGGTGATGGAACATTGCCCGGATGAGTCTCCACACTACCCACGCTTAGACCTACTTCGTCATCGGTAGGAACAGTGGAAGGGTTCCGCAGAGTCTGGGCGGTATGAGAGCTATCAGCAGCGGCCAAATCTGCAACAAACGGATCAACTTCCAAAACTGATAGTCTTCGTTCTGGGTCATTGCTATCGCCAGACAAATTGGCATTGACCGGTTGAGTTTCCGGACATGGTTGGAGAGTTGTGGTGTTGCCAGTGTTACCTTCGTCTGCAGCGGATAGGTCGCCTTCCGAAGTAGTGATATCTGGATGTTGAGTAGTGCCGGATCCTTCAACGCTAGTGTGCTTCAATTCTGAAAGTGGTTCAAGTGTATCCATGACCTGGTGAGGAGAGTCACTGGCGTTTCCGCTGTCTGCTATCTGTGCATCGCGTAGGGGCTGCATTCCGTTTCGAAGAGTGGTTGGTTTCTGAGCGCCTGCGACGGTAGCGATTGCTGAAGAATTCACTTCGGTCGAAGATATGAATGTTTCCGACGGAATCTGCTGCTCTTGTTGGGTTGATGTCCTCTCCTGGTTTTGATCTGATCTACTCTGTTGTTGTTGATTTGATGTACTCTCTTGTTGATTTGATGTACTCTCCTCTTGTTGGTGCGAAGTAGTCTCCTCCAATTGGTCCGTTGTACTCTTCCTCTCCTCCAATCCGATTGATTGCTTGTCGCTAGCTGTGGTTGGAGACTGCTTTGTCTCCGATCCCACATGCAGATTATGTTCTTGATCAAAGGTCCCGGAAGGCGGAACTGTATCCTGCAATCGCGATTCGGACGGCTGTACGGTTGTCAAATTTTGAAGATCCAGAAGCCTTCCAGTGCCCTGAGGTGCTCCTATCTCATCATCAAAATACAACTCGTATATATCGGTGAGGCCGGAGGGCGTCTCACTCCGAAGCTCAGGGGAAGCAGTTGAGAGGCTTGTCTGAGGAGCGCTGTGCCGTCGAAGTATGTGGCCGCCTCCTAAGAGTTGATTTCCCGGCTCTTGCCTTGGCCTCAGGTGCGAGTTAACGACTCTGGTGAGAATCTTCTGACGGGGAACTTACCGATGAGGCGGTACTTGCTCGTTAGCGGCTGGTTCTGTGGGCATCGGTGGCTGCCGAGCCGGGTTGGGACTCGAGATGAGAGACAGCTTTCTCCACAAGGATTTGGACATGAGAGCACCCATCAGTGATCTTGGCGCTGATCCAAGCATCTCTTCCAAGCACCATTCCAATGATGCAAATTTTGCAATCTTCTCAACACTAAAAAATGAATGTTAGTGACAAGATCTTAACCCTATATGATGACCGCTGTTAATCAGATCAAGAGGAAAAGGAGAAGGAAGAAGTTTGGATGAGATGTCTGGTGTTACAAAAACAAAAAAGTGAATGTTGGTGAGAGGGGACTTCTTGATGTCAGGGGAAAATCTGCAACTCACAACGGGTGTAAAGGGGAGAAGATGGACAAGACGTGTCTCGCCAAAGCCGCGACAATGGCACAATAGATTTGTGGACCGTCCCGCCACTCATGGTACTCTTGTGCGTTCATTGTTTCAAGTTTTCCAGTCACAGCGGCGAGGCGCCAAAGTATCGGTGGGGCAACGATGATCAAGCCAAGGAGGAAATCCCAAATAAAGGACCAAAACAAAAACCAAGATACTCGCCGAGACATAGTACATAGTACATAGTACATAGTACTCGTAGATGCGCTTTGAGCTTTGAGCTTTGAGCTTTAGAAAGCTTCGGGACTGTCAGATAGTGGTAGTGGTAGTGGTAGTGGTAGTGGTAGTGGTCGGGCTTCCTCTCGGCGAACAGCGGGGATTTCCGCAATACTCCGGGAAGTTCTCCAGGGTACTAATCGTGTCTACCCCCATTTGCGCCCTACCCCCATTTGCGCCCATTTTAAATCCGATAAATCCGACATAGAAAACTACCACTACCATGGCTACCACTACCATGGCTACCACTACCACTCTTTCAAATGGCCTACTACCATAGTCTATCATAATGGCTAATGCTACGGTATTATAGTCGCCGTCTATAGGCCTAGCATAGTAGATATCCTTACCCTAAACTTAGATATAGCCTGTTTTTATTCTAACGATATATATATCTAAGTAGTAATCGATATTTTATTTAAACCTTATAATATAATAAGATATCTATTAAAAATATTATAAATTATCTAATTAATAATTAGTCTCTTAGCGTATAACTATAAATTTAAATCTACTAAATATCTTAATAATTTCGAAAATAATAAAAAAATAATAACTTAATATTTAATTTCTTATAATCGTAAGAGAGTTTATATTATAAGTGTATAGTTTATTCTAATTCATAGTCTATATTCATTTATATATATTTGGAATTTACTAGGCCTCTATTAATATATTTACTCTTAAATAAACTTTTAAACTTCTTTTTTAATACTCTAGAACGTTATATAAAATGGGAATTACGATATATCTTATATAACGATCTTAATATCTAGTATTATAATATCGTAGAGCTTTAATTTTAAAGAGATTTAATAAAGAAATAAAGAAATAATAGCTATAAACGTATTTTACTATAAAATAATTATTTAATATTATATTTTTAAGCGAAGAAGAAATCGTAGAATAATACGTTCTAATTAGCTCGATTTAATTTCTCTTAAGTCGAATTAAGCCGTAATCTTTAATTCTTAAATTAATATTAAATAAGTTTCTTCTTAAGATATTATATCTACGAAATTATTATAAAATACTTAATAGTAATAGCAAGATCGAATAGTAACACAATATAACTTTTAAAGATCTTTATAAATCAAATAATAAGAAAAGCGTACTCGATAAGATTTACGTAAAGTAATTATTAAATAATAAGAGTCTAAGTAATCGATTTTTAAATATAAAAAAATAAGGCCTTAGAGTGCTTTCTAAAGACTTTGGATGAATTTAATTCGTTTAAAAATACGATATTCGAGGTTCTAGCGGTAGCCTATTAATATTATAAGCTAGGTATCTTCTATTATTTAAAATAGATATATATAAGCCTTCTATATATCTTCTTATAAGTCTTTCTATAAATCTTTCTATAAGCCTTTCTATAAGCCTTTCTATAAGCCTTCCTATAAGCCTTTCTATAAGTCTTTCTATAAGTCTTCTTAATCTAAAATAGATATATATATATAAGCCTCTCTATATTAATTAATCATCGAATAGATAATTTAGAAGACTAAGAAAAGAACTTATTATAATTTTATAGTTCTACTATAGTAAAAAAAAACTATATTCCTCTTATCTTCCCTTCGTTAATAGCTTTATTAATACCTTTATTAAAGACTTTAAAGTCTCTTAAAGAGATATTTAAAAAGAAATATCTAGAGATTATATTTAATAAGTATAATTAAACTCTTTTAGCTTATAAGAATAGCTTAGACTCTTATAAAAAGAAATCTAGAATTAAATTAATTACGTTATATTATAGAGTTATTCCTTCTACTATTAAATCGATATATCGTTATTACTAATACTTATTCTTAATAAAAAGTAGTTAAAGATTAATAACGATTAAGACTCTATAGAGAAGAAAGCTTTAAGAATATAGATTCTATAAATAATAAAGTAAGATTAATCTTTTAGAGTTGGTCTTATTTATTATATAGCTAGTAAAATACTAGTAGTAAAGTAAGATAATAAAGAGTTAGAGATAAATTAGATCCACGACTTTCTTAAATATTATTTAAATCTATAAAGTCGATTTAGTTAGCCTTTAAATAAAGAACGTGCTATAACTTATAATATAGAAAAGATTATTATAATAATTTTAGCTTATTAAATTAGTTATTTAAAAGTATAATATTTAGAAGAAAGATATATATAATATAAATAAGAAAAGATCTACTCTTAATACTGCTAGTAAAATAAGAGTTATATACTTTAAGTATAATATATATATATATATAGCTTAGAATAAGAGTAGAGAGTAGATAACTTTTATCGAATATATATTCGCGAATAAAAGACTTCTTTTATTATTTATTATCTTTAAAAATAAGCTTTAAATAAAAACTTAATTTAATATCTTAAAGAAAAAGAAATTAATAATTATATTAAGTAAAAATAAATAAATAAATAACATATTAAACTTAAAGTAGTTTATTAGATATATTTTATTAATTTCTATTTATATAATTAGCTTTTAACTTATTCCTTATAAATACTTTAAATTATAGACTCAAAAAATATTAAAAGAAAGATATCGCCTTCTAATATATAACGAGTATATATTATATATTAGTATTAAAGTTATATAGTTTTATATTAATAACGATATCGTTTTATTATATCTATTTATCTACTTTATATATATCCTTTAACTATTAAACATCGAGTTTTTTTAACCTTTAACGATTATATATCGAAAATATCTAATAAAAAATATTATACTTAAAAGTAATTACTTAATAAATAAAATAGACTTTATTTAATTTATTTAAATAATAAGAATAAATATTATAACGAAAAAGAATATTAGATATATATAATAGAAGAGTAAGCTATTTTCGAATTAGCTATAAGTTATTCTTAATAAATTAAAACTTAAGATATTAGAATTAAGATTTATTATATCTTTATCTTTAGAGATAATAATTATTATATTTAATAGTAACTCTCTATTTATATCTTTTATCTCGATAAATATAAAGTAAGTTAATTAGCTAATTTAATAAATTAAGACTAATAATCTTAATTTAATATTATTAGAAAAGCTTAAAAAAGTATATAATTTAGCGCTAATAAATAATATCTTACTTTATATTATTAACGAGGATCTTATTAAGATAGAGTAACGAAAAAAAGATAAGATTAAATATAGATATACGTATTAAGGCGAAGAATAACTTATAATTTTTAAGCTTATTTAGAAACAAATAGAAAACTTAATTAATAAGAAATTTAAGAAGTAATTTTAAAGTATATATTATCTCGAATTAGCTATTTTTAAAAATAACGAGAGATAGAAGTTTAGTTAAGAAAAAGGCTACTATATCTCTTATATTAAACTTAATAATATTACTAAATCTCGCTCTATTATCTTCGCTATTCGATAATCGTCGAGTCGAGATAACATTTTAGCTTCAAAAATCGCGTCTTTCAAGAACGCGACTTTTTTATATTCTTTCTTACTATTTTATTAAATATAATTTAACATAGCTAAAATTGCTATTCTATCTTAGTTTAATAAGAACGAACTATATAAGACTTAGAAATATTAGAAAAAAGAGGTTACGATCGAGATAAGGAAGGAAAAACTTAAGTAACGTAATATTCTTCTTCGATATATATCTATATTACCTGAGTATCAACTACTATAAATCGAGTATTATATACTTATTAGTTACTTTTTAAATAACTTTATAATTCTCTTATATCTAGTATTTAACCTTATATAAACTATTACTATCTAGAATATACTTTATAAAAATATAAATTTATATACTTCTCGACAGAGTCCTTTAGATCCTTACTGAAAACTCACCCGTATTCCGAAGCTAAAAATCTTTATCGCTATTACAATCTATATAGAAATCTATTACTTTTCTACTATTTATAATTATTGAAGAACTAATAATATTACTTCGATGTCTTCGATTCTTACTAGCGAAATAGCACGAGATCGCTATATACTTCTTCGAAGAATAATTCATTATTCAGATCCTAACGAAGAGGATTCTTTTACTCTTAAAAAGAGTAGATATCAGAAATCTATATAATATAAGAAGATACTTTTATTTACCGATGAGATATAAAGTAACTAAAAGAAATTACGTACTTTAAGTAATTATTATATAATTAATAAATATATAATTAAGAAGACGAGATATACTTATTATTCTATTATAGCTCTAAGTAAATTAATTAAGAAGAAATATAAGGTTTTTATAATTAGTAATAAGAGCTATCTCTATAACTATATATAATATTCGTTTAAATAAAACCTCGAGGATAGGCTTAAAGTTAAAGGTCTCGGAGATATAAGCGCTATAGTCTTTAAATTAGTTATTAATATACTATTCTCTAACTTTATCCTCTTTATAAATAACTATTTTATTAAATTAAAGCTTACTAGCAAGCTAAAGATCTTAAGAATTACTATATATAAAACTATAAAGTTAAATCAAATAAATCTTTTAGAATTACTTATAGAGATAAAATAGCGATTTGCTAAGAATATGCTATACGATATTCTTACTATAGTAGTTTAGAATAATATTCTTATAATAGTCTAGTAGAATAATAATCTTATTTTAGCCCTTACTACTATCTACGATATTAGAGAGATTAATAATACTATTATTAAAAAGAGAAAGCGTTCTAATAGAATAAGTATTAATAATTATATTATCTTACTTGCTTTTAAAGAGAATAGAAATAACGTCTAATAAAAGGATTTCGATATTTCGAAGATCTTTTTCTACTATAACAGGTATATGAGGGAGATTAATCGATTTAATATATTAATAACTATATATTCTTCTTATAGAGCTTATAATCGAAT